GAGGCCACGGGGCTGGCAGGAGCTGCTGTGGCACAGGGAAGCGGCCCCGGGGCCTCGGTGTCATCACAGAATGGTTTGGGTTGGAAGGGGTCTTCAGGATCATCTTGTTCCAACCCCCCTGGTTGGGCTGGGACACCTCCTGTTAGATCAGGTTGCCCAAAGCCCCATCCAACCTGGCCTTGAACACTTCCAGGGATGAGGCACCTACAGCTTCTCTGGGCAACCTGTTTCAGTCTCTCATCATTTTCACAGAAATTACTATCTAATATAAATCCTCTTTCAGTTTGAAACTGTTACCCCTCATGCTATCACTATACTCTTTGATCCAATCCCTCCCCAGCTTTCCTGGAGCCCCTTCAGGCACTGGAAGGCTGCACTGAGGTCTGCCCAGAGTCTTCCCTTCTCCAGACTGAACAAACCCAGCTTTCTCAGCCTGTCTTCACAGCAGAGGTGCTCCAGCCCTCTGTAGGTCCATGTCTTTCTTATGCTGGAGACTCCAGAACTGGACACAGTGCTCCAGCTGGGGTCTCGGAAGCGCAGGGTAGAGGGAGACAATCATCTCCCTCGACCTACTAGGTACAATATCCTTTATTATCTTAAATATCTCACCATCTCTGGGTGGTGGCACTTGCTGGCCCCTTCTGGAATCATTAGCTGGCCCTCTCTTAACATCTCCTCATCTGATTCCTGCCTGCATTTGCTGAGGATGGTAGGAAGCTGTTGTGCTTGGATCACCTTCCATCATCATTCTCACTGGTGTCAATGTTTTTTTTTCTTATCTTGCTATCCTGCCCTACCCTTCAGTTACAAGCTAGTTTAGGCAATGTGTCTTTTTCTAGTTGTAAAGAGAAGAAATAAAACCAGAGATTGCTGATCTCCAAAGCTGGGCTGATGGGAACAAGGCAGTCATGAAGGTGGGAGCCTTTATAGAGTTGTATCCCTTCTTTGCATTGGAGAAATGTAAAAAATTGTATCAATTAACTAACCTGGGTTCTTTCCCAGTCTGTAAACCTATCTCATAGCCTGCCAGTGCTAGGAAGAGGAGTAATTCTGGGTTAAAGTGTCTTCCAAGAATTCCTAACTCCCTGATGTGCCTTTAAATATCTCATTCACTATATTAAAAAAACCCAAACATATAAAACTGTTGACACTTTGTATTTGCTTTTGCTCATCATCTCCTGACTAGAGCTGGTCTTATGAGATGCAAAATTTTTGTTGATTTTTAAAGAACATGCTTTTCACATGTTTTGCAAATTACGAAAGCCAGGAAAAAAAAAAAAAAAAAAAAAGAAAATTGCTTTCAAATCACTTTATAGACTAAAATTAATGGGAAAATGGAAAGCTATAAGCACATTTCTGCAGGAAAAAAGGGAGGTGGATCAGGGCAGGGACACAACAGACTGACATCTATCAGACACCTCTGTTGTCTCTCTGATGGCTCAGCCTTGGTCACCTGAGCTGAGGGAGCTTTGAGTAGCTTCTTACAGGAGCCACTCCTGGGGCCCCACCTCTGCTACCAAAAAGCCCACCAAACCAGCACAATTTCCAATAATAAATCAATATTTTACAATTCAATACAATGTACTTCCAGAGCTGAATAAAGGGGCAGTGTTAAAGGAGGAGCATAATGGACATGCAAGTGTTAAATGATTCTGTACTTACTGGTTATCTTTCCTTGATATTTGTCACTGTAATTCTTCAAAATATTTTATATTTGTAGTGCATTATGTCACAGCAGGTAAAAGCTAAATGCATTTGTGTATTTAAGTACAGTTTTTATTTACAGGCCATATCATACCTTACTTTGCAATCTCAGATGACAAATTTGATTGTACATTTTGTTGCAGTACGCTCAGTGTAGCTCTCATAAGAACATGCTCATTTCTTCAGCATAGAAACTACTTGAGTTTAGTGTTATTTATGTGATGGATTCATAGAAACTCTATAATAGTTTAATAATGGCATTCTGTATGTTATTTTTGATGCTTATGAACATACTGACTGAATTTACAGAAGCTCTGTTAGAAGTGACAAAGGGAAAGGGACAGCTCAGTATAAGTTATCCATCAACAAATATTCAGGAGTTACTGAGAGACAATAAAACCTACAAAAAATCCCTAAGACAGAAGCAATAAAAGAAGAATGACATTTTTAAAGCAACCTTTGCAAGGGGGATTTCTGTTTGTAAAAATTAGACAGGCATGAAATCTGCCTGAGGATTCTGAAGGTGCCTAACTAATTTACTGGCAGGAGGTCATAAATCCTGACATAATACACACATAGAGGCAGAGTGGTGTTTCTAAATATTTTGTTTCTAGTTTAAACTGAAAACTACTCTTTTCTTAAGCAGCTTGTGAGATCACTGAAAGGAGGATGACAAAGAGATTGGATTTAGTTGGATATAAAAGGTAAACCAATTGATAAGTTGTGCTGTAGGCTGGGACCCTGTGGAGGGTTTTAAGAATTTATCCTATAACAGGATACCTAAAATTAAGGGTGGTGCTCTGAGAGACTGCAGAAAGGGGATAAAGGTGCCATTAGGCCAGTTGCTGTAATTACAAGTTAATGTAATTAGTGTTCCTATGTTGATATTTAATGACGACAAAAAAGGTAATAATGGAATTATTTAGGTTGGGAAAGATCTTTCAGATCATCAAGTCCAACTGTTAAGCCA